AGCAGGCCAAGCAGCATCAGAGGAGAATCAGAGCTCCTCTGATGCTGCTTGGCCTGCTGTGTTCATCCAGCTCTACACTTTGATCAAGATCTCTTTGTAATCTTAGATAACCTTCTTCACTGTCCACTATATCATCAGTGTTGGTGTCATCCTCAAACTTACTAAGTATGCTTGCTGTGTTCTCATCCAAATCATTTATATAAATGACAAACAGAAGTGGAAGGAGTGATCCCTGTGGAGCACTGCTGGTCACAGGCCTCCAGATCAATAGACAACCCTGTACGATTACCCTCTGTCTCCTAGCATAAAGCCAATTTTGTATCCAGTTGGCAAGCTCACCCCGAATCCCATGTGACCTAACTTTACTGATTAGTCTATCATGCGGAACCTTGTCAGAGGCTTTACTAAAATCCATATAAAAAATGTCTACCGCTCTGCCCTGATCAATCTTTTTGGTTATGTCGCTCAAAAAACTCAGTCAAGTTTATGAGACACGATTTCCCTTGTACAAAACCATGCTGACTATCCCTAATCATTCCTTGACCTCATCAAATGCATGTCAATCCTATCTTTCAGAATAACCTCCGACAGCTTTCTCATCACCAGTGTCAGGCTCATGGGTCCATAATTCCCATGCTTCTCCTTACAGCCTTTCTGAAAGATAGGCATAACATTAGCCATCCTCCAATCCTCTGGTATCTCACCTGTGGTTATAGATGGTACAAATATTTCTGCTAGGGATCCAGCAATTTCTTCCCTAATTTCCCACAACGTCCTGGGGTACACCTGATCAGGACCTGGAAACTTATCCACCTTTATATTTTCTGAGACTTCCAGCACTTCCTCTTCTGTAATGGGAACTGTTTCCAAAACATCAATATTTATTTCCCTGAGTTCTCTCGCCTCCATTTCTTTCCACGTAGGAAAAACTGATGCCAAAGGTTCATTTAGGATCTCTCCCATCACCTGACGTTCAAAGTATAGACCACCTTGTTGATCTTTAAGGGGTCCTATTCTCTCTCGAGTTAATCCTTTACTCCTAATGTACTGTAGAATCTCTTTGGATTATCCTTAACCTTATCTGCTAAGGCTATCTCATATCCTGTCTTTGCCATCCTGATTTCCTTCTTAAAATGCCCCTACACTCCACATACTCTTTAAGACACTCATTTGATTCCAGTTGTCTATATCAAATATATGATTCTTCCTTGTTCTTGACTAGAACCTCAATATCTATTTTTAATCTATTGCTCCCTACTCTTCCCAGCCTTACCCTTCACTCTAACAGGAACACAATGCCTCTGACCTCTTGCTACCACACTTCTGAAAGCCTCCCAGTTGTCAGTCATCCCTTATCCTGCTAACAGTCTACTCCAATCAACCTTTGAAAGTTCTTGTCTCCTACCATTAAAATGTGCCTTACTCCAATTCAGATCATTAACTTTTCTGGAGGGTTTATCTTTTTCCATAACTATTTTGAAGCTAGTCCCCAAGTGTTGCCCTAACCTCTTTGCTCATGAGCTCTAATCATCATGTGATAAAGGCTAACATACCATCTGCCTTCTGAATTGCTACTGTCTGCAACTAGAAATAGCTTCCAGTGAACCATGAACAAGGAAGCCGAGGTTCCTCTGAACAGGAACACTTCCCAATTTCTTCGCCTTTAAGAAACACTTGACACTGTTCATCCTCCCAAAGTGATTTCCCCCTACACATATTCACATTATATTCTATCCTCCCTGCCATGCGCTAGCCTATTTATTCAACCAGTCTATATCTGCTTTGCATTCTTCTCACAGCTCACATTTCCCCCAAGTTTGGTGTCATCTGTAACTTGGAAACATTGTCCCCATAGCTGATACAAACTGCGATTGTGATGAGCTGGGTCCCCAAGCTAAACTTGAGGTACACCCCCCACCCCAGTCGCAGCCAACCAATCAGAGATTAACACTATCTCATTTTACTCTCTGCTTTCTGCCTGTTAACCAACTCTTGATCCATGCTCATACACAGGAACAGGAAGAGGCCGTTCAGCCCCTTGAGCCTGTTCCATCATTCAATAAGATCTTGACTGACCCGCCTTTGGCCCATATCCCTTAACACCTTTTGGTTAACAAAATTTAATCTATCTCTGATTTAAAACAACTGATCCAGCACCCACTGCCATTTGTGGAAGAGTTCCAAACCTCTCCCACCCTTTGTGTATTGAAATGCTTCTGAACGTCTTTCCTGAATGGTCTGGCCCTAATTCTCAGACTGTGTCCCCTAGTTCCAGAATTCCTGACCAGTGGAAACAATTTATCTTTATCTCCCCTGACTTTTCCTGTTAATACCACAGTGATTTTGATCGGATTACCCCTTAATCTTCTAAATTCTGGAGAAAATGGGCCCAATTTGTGTAATCTTGCCTTGTAACTTAACCCTTGCAGTCCAGCTAGAATTCTTCTACCAACTTTGTACTCCCTCCAACGCCAGAACGTCCTTCCTGAGGTGCGGTGCCTAGATCTGCTCACGGTACTCCAACTGGCAGTATAATATTCCCAAATCCCAGTTTGTATTTTGTCTGCTGTCTGCTTGTGTGAATTTCTGTCAAAAGCAGACAGGAAAATCCAAATACACCACATCTACCAGATCCCCCTTATCCACTCTGCTGGGAACATTCTCCAACAACTCTACCAGGTTTGGTAAGCATGATTTCCCCTTCATTCATTCATGTCAACCCTGCTTATAACAAACTCTGCTGCCGACATCAGGCCAGCGGATGTGTACTTGTCATTTTTATCTCTGTCTTTCCTTTCTTAAGCAGTGGGATTCCTTCTACATCCTCCCAAACTGCTTCATTGCACTGTCTCAGTACTGCAAGGCAGCTTCATCATGGATGAATAGGGCTCAAATCCTGGACTGGATCTTAGAATCTCAGAGCCATGCAGTTCTGTCACCAACTGAGTCACAGCTGACACCTAAGTGAGAGTCCGAATTCACCATTTGGGCATAGAAACAGAAAATAAGAGCAGGAGTAGGCCATTCAGCCCTTTGAAGCTGCTCTGCTATTCTCTATGTTTGTGGCTGATCATCCGACTCCACACCCTTTTCCCACTTTCTCCCCATATCCTTTGATCCCTTTAGCCCTAAGAACTCTATTGAACTCCTTGAAAACGTTCAATGTTTTGACCTCGACCGTTTTCTGTGACAGGGAATTCCTTGGGCTCCCCACACTCGGGGTGAAACATTTTTCCTCTTCTCAGTCCTAAATGGTCTACCCCATATCCTTAGACTGTGACCTCTTGATGCGGGGCTCCCTGGTCATCCAGGGAGATCCTTCCTGTGTTTACCCAGTAACAGGATGTTAGAATTTTATAGGTTTCTATGAGGTTCCACACCAGCCCCCCACCCCCCCACCCCGCCCCACTTATTCTTCCAAACTCCAGTGAATATAGTCCTAACAGATCTGGTCTTCCATCATATGTGAGTCCTGCCATCCCAGGAATCAGTCTGGTAAACCTTCACGACCCTCCCTCTGTCGTCAGAACATCATCCTCTAAAGAGGAAATATAACTGCATACAATATTCTTGGTGTGATCTCACCAAAGCCCTGTATAACTGCAGCAAGACTTCCCTGTTCCCATACTCAAATTCTCTCAGTCTGCAGGTCAACATAGAGTTTGCCTTCTTCGCTGCCTGCTGCGCCTATATCTATTTTTTTCTTTATTCATTCACGGGATGAGGGCGTCGCTGGCTGGGCAGCATTTATTGCCCGTCTCTAATTGCCCAGAGGGCAGTTAAGAGTCAACCACATTGCCGTTGGTCTGGAGTCACATGCAGGCCAGACCAGGTAAGGATGGCAGTTTCCTTCCTTAAAGGACATTTGTGAAGCCGGTGGGTTTTTCCTGACAAACGACAATGGATTCATGGTCATCATTAGATTCTGAATTCCAGATATTGATTGAATTCAAATTCCACCATCTGCTTACTTTCAGTGGCTAGTGCATAGGGACACCTAGGTCTCCTGGCACCAGCCCTTTTCCCAATCTATCGCCATTCAGGTAATCATCTGCCTACCTGTTTATTTCCTGCTAACCTCACATTTATCCCTATTTCACCTCATGTGGCATGCATCCGCATGGTTTGGAATTGCAACCACAAAGCAAGGTTTTCAAAGATTTCTCAGACCACTGCCAGTGCTGAACATAAACCATGTTCCAACATCTGTATTTCACCTCAGCACACAAGGCGTGACTGAATCCACAGTGTTGAGAATGGTTCCACAATACAGTTAGGGAAGGCTGTATCAATATTGCAAGCAGGCTGTGGGAGTGTTTGACAGATGAGGACTAGAAACCACACCAGTGCAAGGTGACAAACTACATCAGAGACATGAATCAGAGAGGTTTCATTTTTAACCCTCCTCTCTCCGGTCCTAGTCCTATCTGACCCTGATAACACAGATGATGCACTCTGATGATTAGCTAGTGTCCTTCCCCTTGCTCAGTCCTGCTGTGCTGCTTCCACCATCCCTGGCTGACCATCTGGAGATCTGACCCCTCGCTCAACCCTCTCTATACACTGGCCTCCACGGGGAAGGGGAGGTCTACCTTCAAGCCCAATGTCTCATTCAATTCCAGTCCCTTTCCCCAATAGAGAGACCATGTGTATCATTACAGAAAAAAAATTCTCAGATTCAGGCACCAGCCTTCCACTTCCCTCCAGTAAAGTTTAATGGAGCACTTTAAACATTATGCACAGCCTGTCCAACATGCCACACCAGCGCACTTTCAGCAGAAAACACACACCATCAAAGACCTGAGCAGTGCAGGCTGTTAAAGCGCTCAGTCAATTTCCCAGCGATATCATATTTTCCACTGATCCCTTGGCTGAAATAATGAGATTGCAGTGTTGTAGTTCCACACTCGAGCCAAAACATTAACATCAGACCAGGAGAAGAAAAGTACAGCAACTTTCTCACCTGCTCCTTCATTTCACAACTGCCTGCATTTTACAACCACATGGAGAACAGAATTGCATCACACACTTGGCATTTGCAGATGAGAGAAACCGAAGAAACAGAGATACAGGCGAAAGGTAGTTTGCACTGTGTCTGATTGGACATAGTTGAAGCATTAAGTTGGAATCATGTCCTGACTTCTGAAAACAGCCCAAGTTTGTCACCAATGGAACTGAACAAAGAAATGCAAACTACCACACACACAGAGGAACCTGGAGGCAGCTAAACAAAGGAGAGGAATTTTCAGAAATGTTTGTAAGAAGGAGAGAGGCTAGAGGAGCTGGAGGAATTTCAGAAAGTGATCCCAAAGAGTGGGACAAAGGGAACTTTGGCTTTGTGAAGAAGTGTCTGCAGGATAACATTTTGGAGAAGGAGTGGTGAGTTAAGGTAAAGATCCATTTGCAATGTGACTCCCATGAGAATCAAACAGAAGGTTGATCAGAAAGGTGTCACTGGCCCTTGACGTGAGGGGTAACTGTTGTTGCGGTCAGAACTTAGTCCTTAAATCTAGAATCAGGATCCTTGGGACTCCACAGTTACATCAATAAAAATACTATGATTGCAAAGCTTAACTTCACAAAGTGGTAGCTATCTGATACCCACAACCCACAGCAGTAATTATCCAAAGTGGCTCAGCAATCTTTCAGGCAATGCTCTGACCAGTTTCACAGTCATAACTATCTGAGGCCCAGCCACTTCTTTTATGGTCAATTTCTTGCAGGTCGAGAGTTTAAAATTGCCCGGTTATTTTAGAGTGAGTACAAGGCAGAAAGCTAGCGTTTTGACCCATCCTAGTTCACCAGAAGAACTAAAGCTGTCCATGCAGAGTTAGGGTTTAATGATTATTCTGATGCACCTCTGAGACATACTATAGTGGAACTGTGACCTCAGTGAGTGTGAGAGAGAGACTGTGCTGCAGGGTCAGAGTTCACGTGGCTGAGGACAGAGATGCCCGCTGAACAGTCATCACCATGATATTGTTCAGAAACACTGTTTGTCAAAACACCTTGAAATTTGGCCTGAACTTGACCAGAAAACAGATTAACCCACACAAGAACACTCAGTGAAAGCGAAAATGACACAGAATATGGAAGGTTTGCGTTATAAAGAAAGGCTGGGATTTTGTTTCCTGGAACATGGGAGGTTGAGGGGTGACCTTCTAGAAGCTTGCAAAATAATGAGGGGTATAGATAGAGTTAATCGTAGTTGTCTTTTCCTGAGGATGGGGGGATTTCAAGACGAGGGGACACACGTTTAAAGTGAGACGAGAGAGATTTAAAAAAGACAAGAGAAGCAAATATTTTATGCAGAGGGTGGTTCACGTGTGGAATGAACTTCCTGAGGAAGTGGTGGATGTGGGTACAATTACCCATTTAAAAGGATAAGTACATGGATAGGGAAAGGTTTGGAGGGATATGGGCCAAGTGCACGCAGGTGGGACTAGTTTCGTTTGGGATTATGGTCGACATGGACTGTTTGGACTGAAGGGTCTGTTTCCATGAAGTGGGACTCTGTGTCCTAACTAAAATGGAGCCCCATAGCTTGTGAAACAGTGCGAGTAACAGGGACAGTTGTCAACCACACAAGCTTCTGCATTTTCTCCATCTCTTCGAGGTTTCAGCTGGTCTTTGATCTCAACTCTGTGTCCCACCAAATGCCCCAACCCCCCCCCACTCAAATATCCCTTCATTCCATGAATGTTCCGTTGACCTCTGTCCTGGATATATTCAACGACTGAGCTTCCACAGTTTCCTTGGGCATAAATTTAAAAGGAACCTGAACCCTTTCAGAGTGAAGACATCTTTCCTCCCCTCAGCCTTAAACGATGAACGCCTTAAACTGAGACAAGACCCTCTTGTTGTAGGCTCTCCAAACAGGGGAAAGAAACCTCTTGCTATCTGTCCTGTCGAGCATCCACAGTTTTCGCTAAAATTATCTCCTAGTGTCCAAATTTGCAGAGAGTATAGGTCCGTTCTACTCAACCTCCAGGGGCTGGACAACTGTCTCATTCCAGGAATTAATTTGGTGAGCCTTTGCTGCACCGTCTCCAAAGTCAGTATTTCCTTGCCTAGATAAGTCAAAAATAGCCCCTGCTACACAGGTGTAGCTAGGCTTCCTTGTTCTTGTACTCCAATCATTTTCCACTGTTCTCCTCTTCCTTCCTAATTGCTTGCTGTCCCTGCACTCTAACCTGATGGGTTTCTCTTAGGAAGATGACCAAATCTGTCTGGGCACCAAGCCGACATCTATAAACCTCTCTCAGCATTAAAAATTAATGCCCATTTTATTTCCTGCCCACCAAAGGAACAGTAAGAACACATTTATATTGTGTTTTCTTTTATTCCATGTGTACTAGTCGGTTTGTGAGCATTTGTAACTGGGAGGAAAGGTCACCTTTGTAAAGGAGAAGGAAGTGTGGGAAGAGAGCTTGAAAGTATTCTTGAAACAGCAAACAGGATTTGGTCAGCTGGACAGCTTCAGGTTAGAACATTGCAGAGGATCGAACTGAATAGTTGAATGTTAATGCCACGTCGGAGGAAGCGATAAATGAGAGAAGTGAATGTGGGAACATGGGTCATGAAGAGATCACACAAAGTGGGGTAGGATAAGCCAGGGTCACAGCTGGATTTGAAAGGAAGGTTGCGGGATGCAGGATCATTTTCGGAATGACTTCTTCCCTGCCTGAGTTGCACTTTGCAATATTACAATCAGAGCCCAGCGTAGGCTGGTGGACATCTGTCACATGTAGCCCCATGTGCTTGACCAAGCCAAGAAAATGAGACCAAGAAGTGTCCAAACGAAGGGTGAGAAAAGTCTGTGCAACTGTCAGATTCACACACTCTTATTCCCATAGTTGGCAACACAGACTCTTTGACCCAAATTCACCCACACAATGGAGCACAGGACAAAAATTCCAATCTGTTCCTGAAAGGAAATTCCTCACCCTCACCAACGGCGGTCACCGTATCACAGGGACTGTGTTGTGTTTTACGGTACAAACAGCATGTTCCAAAATCAGGAACTTGGCAGCGATGTCAACATTTTGCTCCGTGCCTCCTCCTACTCAAGCTGCCGAGGCACGCTGAAGAGAGGGTGCCACCTGGATGCCAAAAATATCAACTCAACAACCTTCCCTCTGGGAAAAGGTCCTGCAGCTGAGAATTCCTGACAGACACGACAATCTTAACCTCTTGTGTAAGGACTGAGAGAGGTTCGTGGACTGAAGAAAGTGGGTTTGAGCGTTGGTTTTGCAGACCCCCAGGGTGAGTCTGACCTGCCCCATGGCGACCCCCCCGCCAAGGCAAAGGCACAGCTAGAAATGGATTCATGAGGACCAATCCCCTTGCTAGCTGAGGATTTGCACGCTGCCATTCAAAACTGACTCTATTTCTGGAAATCCAATATGTGTCAATTGGAGCCAAATGATAACAGGTGCCTGGGTCTTCTAGCATGGAGGCAGGGATACTACCACTGCACCACTGTAACCCTTCCTCCCTCCCTCCATTCTGGGTTGTCTAACCCATCTCATCATTAAAATGTCTATGACCAATTTCATGTCACCAGTGTACAGTCTGCAAGTACAGGGATGGTTCTCCCAGGAACAGAGAAGTTTCTAAGTGGGAGAAGACTTCCTTGCGATGTTGAAACTGATCTGGGGGTGGTTATTCTGACCATTGCGATCAGAGACCATTGACAGAACTGGTTCTGACTGGTCAGCAAGTTGCCAGGGCCAAAATTCCAGAAGTCCAGAAGGGAAATGGGGAGAATTCACACACTCAGTTGTTGTGGTCTGGAATGCAGGAAAAGCGGTGAATATTTCAAAGGAATGGCACGCAGATTTGAAAATGCCAAGTTGTTGCAGCATAGTGGGGGACAGTAAGTAACTGGCAGCACGGTGGCTCAGTGGTTAGCACTGCTGCCTCACAGCACCAGGGACCTGGGTTCAATTCCACCCTCAGGTGACTGTCTGTGCACAGTTTACACATTCTCCCCATGTCTGCGTGGGTTTCCTCCCACAGTCAAAAGATAAGCAGGTTAGGTGGAAGGGTCATGGTAAATTGCCCGTAGTGTGCAGGCTAGGTGGATTAGTCACAGGAAATGTACGGTAGGGGGTGGGTCCAGGTTGGAAGGTTAGTATGGACTCAAAGGGCCCACTTACACACTGTAGGGATTCCACAGCTGGACGGCTCTTTCAGCAAACCAGCACAGACATGGTGGGCTGAACGGCCTCCTGCTGTGACTTCGAGTCTATGATCATTCCCAGGTTCACATTTGTGGGTCAATGCAGGATTAAAATGAGAGGTGCCAGAGCAAACATTCTGTTCTCACATTTCTTTGCTGCTTTTAATTACTGATGAATTGTTCAGCTCGGTTGGTTGGATGTCTGGTTTGTCAGACAGGATGGTGCAAACAACGGGGGTTCAGTTCCCAACTGGGTCAAGTTGTCTTCTTGACTGATCCTGTCACCTGAGGTAGGGTGACCCTCAGTTTAAACACAGCAACTAATCATCTGTGTATATTTCTCTCTCTCTCTAATATGAAAGTAGAAACATCTTTCCTTTATGTCTTGCTCCAACAGGGCATTTTAAACCAGAAATAAATTTCCTCTCATCACCAACAATGCAGCTCAGCCTCATTCTCAATCTGCAGTGGTTTTCAATCCCAAATCTTGTATTTTTTTGTCTGTTTCAAGGCTCTTTGCCCAGAGAGCATGGTTAGAGTTAAAACAAGGACAGGGAGGTGAAAGGATTATAACTTTTGGACAGTTTTCAACAGCTGAAAACATGAACTGACAACACTTTTTCAGACACAGAGCACAACAGGGCTGATTTAATGTGGCGAACAGATGTCAAAGGGAAAAAGAGCTTGAAGAAGCAACGCTGTTTAAGAAAAAGACATTAATTATGAGATTAAAACTGCCTCAGAGATAACACATGGTCCTCAAACACACATATTGATGGCAAAGCTCGCTCTACACAGGGTTAAAAAAGAGCTAAGGATGCAAAATTCTAAATTCCAACCTACAATCCACACAAAACAGACAGAATAATCTGGGAAAATTGGCAATTTTTCCACTGCAATGTTTGAAGTTCCGGAATTGATGTGTGGGAAAGTTATATTGACCAACGCAGCCAACCCCCCCCCCCCCCCCCGCCATAAATCTGCCAGTGGGTTTCTCAAATGGGTTTGGGGGGTGGAAGGGAGGGAGGGGAGAAGTGGGAAATGCGAATGGAGTGGGGCTTATTTGCACCAAGCTTTCTCTTGGCTTCACTGTGTTGGATTCTGGTTTGAGCTTTGGCTGCCTGGAGACTAATGGTTTAGGATCTGGTTCGTTCCAACGGATAGAAGTGGGGGGAGCCAGAGAGGTTGCAGGGGGAAGGACTGATGTGACAAGCAGAGGGCTGCGCTGCAGTTATGTTCGGCTGACAAAAGAAAAACAAAGAGAGAGAGAGTGTGTGTCCACATCTGGAGCCTTTACTGGGCACAGAGAGATCGATTGCCCACAGCGAGTTGGACCAAGATCACGAGAGACTGTGTGTGCGTGTGTGTGTGCGAGAGAGAGTCAGAGAGAAACAGACAGAGTGTGTATATGTGTGTGTGTGAGGGAGAGATTGTATATGTGTGTGTGAG